TTTAATCTTTATTAAATAGACTCTCATGGTTTCCGTAAATAATCAGGCTATAATTTGGAAATATTAATTATGAATTACAAATAAATCTTTATTAATTTAAGTCTGCCTGCAGACAATCTATCCTGAAATGACAGACCACAGGTTGAGAAACACTAATAGATAAAATGATTTAGGTAAAAAATACTCTTTTCAAATGAGATAACTAGAACTGACTTGATAATAGGTCATTAAAAAAGTTATGCTGGAATGAAATAAAAATCTAGGTTTAACAGTATTTTTTATTACTTTACAATTAAATTTTTAAATGTTTAGACTTGCCATCTCTCCTTTCTGCATGAAGCTCTCAGTGGTACCAAATTGCTTTCTTATGCTCTTTTGCATAAATGCTGATTTTTCACTTAGACCAGGGGGTGGCCAACAGTTTTTGCCCCTGGACCAAATTGGAAAGAAAACGTTTTCACGGGCCGAACCTGATGCTGCTGTAGGAAGATTTTGAGGTGGTGCAAAATCTCATTGTGGTGTCACCCCGTAGAGACTAAATTGTACATAGAGATTACAGAAACATTTTTCACATTATCATGCTTTATCAACATTCTACGCTGTACTTAAGATATTTGTAAAGGAAAGTTAACTCTAAATGCACAGTGAATTGTTGACCTTTTTCTTTTTTTAGGCATCAGAATTTTTCATCGAGCTATTCGTACTCAAGTAGCTAATATTGAAAGATTGATCGTTGGCCACATAAATTCATTAGACGGGCCGGATCTAGCCCGCGGGTCGTATGTTGGCCATGCCTGGTCTAGGGTCCATTCGTATCACTTATTCGATAAGCCAGTAAAAACCATAGACTTCTTTAAATGCATTTTTAATATCACAATTACATTCTGAATCGCTAGCCATGATATAAGGGCTACAATTATAAATAAAATAATAAAAACTTACTCGGTGAAATAAAATGTGTGGTGGATGTACTGTACATGTACATACCTGGTACAAAATATTCTTCAATTGTACGAATATATTTTTAAAGAAAATTATAATTAAATATAGCTTTATAAAGAAACATACATAAAAATATAAAATATCCTTTACTTTTTAAATCTTAAAACAATGCACTTACAAGTTAGTCAAATAGCTCCCTACGAGTGGCTAATGGATAGAATCAAAGACGGTCGCAGAGCGTGCATACATGCAGGGTGCCGATACCGGTCAATGTCAAATACCTCTTTTGTCGCATCACTAGTATATCTCAAAGGACGCGACAGGACTGTTGTAGATTATAAACATTTCTCACCATAGCTGTAAAAATCTAAATATGTTAAACTTAATAGTAATTTGTTTTCTAACTAATTCGTTTTAGGACCAAGTGTCCTCAGAAATTTCCAAAATTTACAACTTTTCGGTCACTCTCATTGAACTGGAAAAATTTCTATCTTTATTACATTTGCGGCGACAAATCACGGACTGGTGAGATGGCGCCACTCCTCTACGAGTTTCCCGGGAATCCCGGATAGAAAAACGGGAACTGGGTTTTTCCCAGAGAGAGAATTCTGGGTATTGTTGCTTCTTCTTCTTGTCGGGTGATCGCTGCCATGAGCACGTGTAGCTCTCTTTCAAGTGTACTCGAGGATTGTTGTAAATAAATGTTGTTTTAGTTTAAAACGTGGTCGTGGACTTAACTAATTCACGTTTACAGCCTTCTGATAAAGACAGTCTTTGTGGAGATGTAAATGGATGGAAAAAGACGGCCAGATTTCGTCTAACCGATGGCGGCCATCCATTACCTCCACATTAATAATACGAAGAAATCAGTCTCCACTGTACTCGGCTAGAGATGGTTCGGTTAAGCTTTTGTTTAAGTAAAATTTCGGCTCTTTCATCAGGGTTTTTCATCATCGTCCCCAATTCCCTAATCGCTTGATTATTTAACTACTTCTTAAGTAGAAATAAGTCGAAACCAGTTACTTTGTACTCGAATATTTGTAGTCTCGGGAAAAAGTGGAAAGACAAATTTTTATGACAAATGGATACATAAATCATAAATTTAAGGAAAATAAATTCTAGAGCTTTTCTGTACCTCGTGCATCTCTCTCATTCATTAAATTTAGTCGTAAATGACGCTGTCGAAGTAACGGTTAATTTTTTAACATTATACAAGAATTGTACGTTTTTTTCTACATCCCCTTAGAGATGAAACTTACGAAATCGTAATATCACTGGTTTAACATTGAAATCCGTTAGTAATATAAAATCGGAGAGCGGAATAAATATATCAAATATTTTAATGGATTTTTTAAAACTCCTGTCAACAATACAGAAATATCATAAAAAAACATACCAGTAAATTCTTATCGGTTGGGTTAAGTTATAAATCTACTCGTGATTCACGTAATCGGGCGAGGGCGGCCAAATATCTAGCGGGCGGGCGGCTAACAGCCCAGAACCGGTCCTGGATAGAATTGGATGCGTTATAGGTGTAGCATCCACCCAAGGTCCTAGGCTTCCACCAGCTAAACCGCGAGGTTGGTGCTCTGTAAAGCGCATGCGCAAATTGGCTTTTTGGATGCTGACAATACAGAGATTCCACTCTGACACTAATATTCGAATATACAATAGCAATCTTATTTTTTTTTTTTCCACGTGTAGTATAGAAATTTGTAATAAGATACATAATGCGGTTATAATATATTGTGCGATTATTTTCATATAATTAAAATTAATATGTGTTTATTTTTTAGAAAATACAAGGGAAGCAGCGCATCCACCGCTTCCAATGACGGCACGCCACTGCGTTAAACGTAAATTAAAGAAGTCAAATAATTGTTTTTACTACGCGTTTACTGAAATTCTATGCGAGCTCCATTGGTGGATCTGAGAACGTCAAAGCGGTATTCCACTTCGAATGTCTTCAACTGACCTATCATTAACTGATGGTCTTCCCGAATGCTGTAGTCCAGAAGGCTTCCGGTCTCTTTCAGCTGCCTATAATGTTATTTTCTTACGGCGGTTCTTCGTGAAATGCATGACCGTACCCACATCACACACGAAAATTTTGCTAGCGAGAAAACACTACTTTCTTCTGAACCATCCACATATTGCTTACTCGAATGGATATTCAGTCGCACTAACTTCGTGATAGAAAATTTGGTGAGTTTTTTTATTTGACACTTACTTCATGTGTCTGTTGTTTCATTTTATCACCATAATCTTTTGAAACCGCATCATGACTTCTGGGACACACTGAATATACATACACCTATATACAGTAGAGCGTCGATTATCCGAATCAATTGGGGACTGGGTTGTTCAGAAGATCGACGTTGCGGATAACCGATTACGTACGAAAAAATATATTAATTTATCCCATCTTGACATTTTTCTCCGTTGTGTGTCACTTCGCGTTGAATTTTCGTCGATGTTAAGCCTAACGAAGACTATTATACTGTATCGTTAAAATCATTTTTTTATTTTTACGAACAAAATAAATATATTGAAAAATATAAAAACAATAAAAAATTATACTTCAGAAGTTAATTTAGTATCAAAAACGTAAAATATTTGAGTAGCCCAAGACATAGCCAAAGATTGCAGCGCCATAGCACTGGCGAAAATTTAAATTTGCCGACTGGAATTCTTTCGGATAATCGACGCTCTACTGTATATATTTCCGGTTTTTACTCTTTTCATCCTATGGGCACCAACAGATCCGTTTTTTCCGTACTCATTGTGGGTTCGGTCACGCTCACAATGGGAATAGTGAGTGATGTCCGACACAGCCAGTTTGGAAAATCCACGAAAAATTTCTGCACGTACTTGCTCGTGACTTCTTCCGAGGATGTAATTTAAATGGCTTGAAAATCGTAAATTTAGTTAATATATATATATATATATATATATATATATTATATTCGATTTACAGAAAANTATTTCACTTTTCAGCCAAAACTACACATCGCACATGAATGGTGTTTGTATGTGGTAGTAGCCCCAAGTCTCCATTCGTGCACTATGGTGGTTGCGTCTCGATAGCTATAAGGGTGCGGGAGATATGGGTTTGAAAGTGGTTGAAAGTGAAAGATTTTCTATTTCGATTTTAAAAATTTTCGAATTCGAATTGGTTCGGTTATAGAACGATTGTAAACGTTCCAGAAAATTTATCAAATTGAAAATAGTTCGTTTGACTGGACGTAAAAATTCTCTAATTAGTCTGGAAACGGGGGACCTAATTCTTGCATTCTGTGAAAACGGGTAAGATTGGCTATAATGTAATTATCTTATTCTTCACTATCGTTACTTTTTGCCCACAAATAAAAACCCAGCGAAGCTGGTCCCTGCAGCTAGATTCTACAAGGTAGATTACTTAGAAAAACAGTCTTTTATATATACGGGGTGGGCCAACGAAAACGAAACGGCAGAGTTATCGTGTTCGTCCAAGCAAATAGCTCGGACAGGTCGATTTTATTCTCAAGGGGAAATATTTTATTTCCTTGCATATGCGGTTTAGCTTAAAAGGTTTTTTTATGTTTGTTAATAGTTTGTGTTACTTTTTTCCGAAATAAGTGTTTGTTTAGTTAATAAAAAATGAATGAGTTTTTAAAATATTTTGTTGTCTGTTGTATTCAAAATCACAAAAACTTTATTGCAGAAGATGTCCCCTTGATAATAAAATCGACCTGTCCGAGCGATTTGCTTGGACGAACACGATAACTCTGCCGTTTCGTTTCCGATGGACCACCCTGTATAAAAAAAAACTATATTGCATACAAATGTACGAACAAATAAAAACCCAGCGAAGCGGGTCCTTGCAGCTAGTTTAAAATATTTGTTTGTTTTGCTATATTTGTTTTATTACAATTCTTTATCTGTTGGGAAAAATCTACCTTGGAGTCTAGGTTTATACCGTTTCACGTAAAAAGTTTACCAATAAAATGTTTCACTATTTTGAATCATAAACTATGTATTTTTTTCAATATTCTGCAGTGATTTTAACAGAAACGTTATAAATGTGAAATAATATTTTAATAGTAAAGTTCATCTAAAAGAATATCACATCTATCATCTAGATTAGATAATTTAAAAGAATAATCTCAACAAATCTCACAATGGAATCGTGTCGTGTATCGAAAAGCTTAGTACAAACTACAAAGTAAACAAATTATTCTGCAGATCCGTATTTATCTCTGTGACTCTTTAATGCAGCACAGTACCATTCCAACTCTTTCGCCAATTTTTCCACACCAGTCTGTGCTTTATCGGTTAGCGGAGTGCCGTCCTCTTTAAATGCTTGATGAACGAAAGGAGTAGCGAATATGAACTGCGGAGTCACCATTCCTAGTTCACCTAAGAAGTATCTTAATTGCATTGCCGCTTGAGTTCCGCCGAAAGGACCTTAAATACAGACAGACGTTTAATGTAACAAAATTTATAAAGGAAATATATTTTAATAAAAAAAATACAAATTACCCATTGAATAACAGACAATGCTGCATGGTTTGCACTTGAAGGATTTAATAGGAAAATGGTCCATCATGTTGGCTAATGCAGGAGCAATACATCTATTATATTCGGCCGTAATAGCTACGTATCCATCTGCATCTTCAACGATTTTATTATATTTTACTAACCAATCTGGAGGGGTCTCGTTTGGAGCGTAAAAGTGCAATGGTTTTTTCAACATTGGAAATTCCATTTCGATAGGATCTGAAATTATGTAATTATCGTTTTAAAAAATTGAAAAAAAAGTTTCCAATAATAGAAAAGAATGACAACGAACTATTATCTCTCTGTTATTCTATAGCAGAAGAAAGTGTAGTGATCAGTCAAAATTTGACACACTGATATTGAATTTGAATAGTACGAACATCTTGCAACGTTGATATAAGCTAGTCCCTACAAATTTATCAATCGCTAGCCGAGAAACTCATCATCAGAGTCACAAGAGTACAGGCATACCTCGACTTGCGTCGTTTCGAGTTACGTCGTTCCCGATTATACGTCGTTTGTCAAAAAAGTATATGGAAAAATAAAAATCAAGTTTAAGTCATTTTATTCGACTTTACGTCTGTCCGCCACAAATATTGAAGTCGTAATATCACTAGAAAAGCGTTTAAAGCACATAAAATCATATTAAAATATATACATTTACAAGTATGTACTGTATTTACAGTACATGCATTCGTAAATTTAGATTACTTTTTTCTGTACTATATTAAAAACTAAAATTTATTTGTTTGTAAGCTTAAAATAGATTTTTATTAACCATATATTATTAAAAATGCATTAATAAATAAAATACAGAACCGGGAATAGTAATTTATGGTTTAGCCTAGTGACAAGTAGATTCGGAGACAAGTAAATTCGACTTACGTCGTTTTCCTGGAACCAATTACCGACGTAAGGCGAGGTATACCTGTATTATACACTCTTGATCGTGCAATACTATATATCCATATAAATATATAATAAAGAGTTAACACTTGGACCATTGAAACTCGCAATTTTACTTTTTCATGTAGCATTTATTCTACTTTTTGCCGTTTCATAATTCAAACCAGGCACTTAATTAAGAATGTCTTTTGGCGCCCCTTGGGTGACCGAGGCCGCATGCGGTGCACATTCTGATACTCGCTTGCGGAAGCCCTGAATACTCCAGGTAGCCAAAAACGAAAAAAAAAAAAACCTTACAAAATTAAGTGGTGTGTCGACGTCCATTTTGCATTATGTATCAGGACTGGATAAACCAAAAGTTTTGAATTTTGGCAGGAATATTTCTATATACTACGTAACTAGCCAAGGAAACAAGTGCACAGGCACATGGACCGGGACATAGAGGGGACTCGTAATGAAACTGACAAAAAATTGTTAAATATACTGAAATATTACTTTCGTTTTCATTAATAAATGCACGTAAATGATCTATCTTTCTTGTGTACACAAAAATTATTTATAGATAATTGTATTATCATATTTGTTTTATCATCATCTCTCTCCCAAAAATTTAAGCATTGCAAAGATAAAACCTGCTGAAGGCAGATGAAAAGCTAGTTCTTTCTTCTTTTTTCTTTCCTATTAATATGGAGACACTAGCCTACTGGCTTTTTCTCCGAATCACTCCGCCTTGAATTAGATAAAGCGGTTGGTACAGTGAACAAAACGCTCCAAGATTTCGATATGTTGGCGAGGAGGAAGGTCGGTATGAGGCCAGTATATCGGAGTTAAGCTACGAACGATCGTGAGGTCCAAGGTTAAAAGGCGGCTTAGCTCTTGGCGGGCCCGTGTGTATTGCGGGCAGACAAGCCAATAGTGTACGGAAGTTTCTGGCGAGGCGCATTGGCGTCGAGAATAGAGGAAGTTGTTCGGGAGGGGCCGTATCTGTTCGAAGTCTAGCCAATAGGGTTTCCGTGTGGCGAGACGTGGCGTGTGGTATATCCAAGGGGCGAAAGGTCGGAGATGGTCCGACCTTTTTCCCGAAGAATGGTAGACCAGGTATCGGTGTAGTTGCGGATGATCGATTCCCGCATCTGGCGTATGAGGTCACGTGCCATGAGAGGTCTCCACCAGGAGCCGATGGGAGTGTCATGGTTAGCGGCNAAAACAATAAATTAATCCTTTTAAGCTTTTATATTACTGTATTTAAATTTTATGTAGTGTAATTGAAAATTAGCGGATTTCCTGGTGGTTTTAACCTCCTGTTCGAGTTCAGAGAAAACAATGCAATAGCTCTTGCCAGTTTTTAAAATTCTTTTAATATCGATTTTAAGTATAATCTACAAAAGTATATAAGTCGGCCTATTTTTATTGATTACCATTGCTTAATATTATCTTATAGAAATAGAATTATTTAAGAAGGGAAATCATATTAATGTCAGTTAATTAATTAGTAGACTATATATTGCGATACAAATGTGTAGTTGATAGAAAACTTTATTTATTTTGCTCACAAATTATTATACAAATAATCAAACGACTTATTACGAAATACAATCTTTGATTATTAAAACAGCATCAATTTGTACGTAGAGAAAGGTAAATTTTATCGAGAGACGTCATCTATTTTACTATTATACACCCTATATAACTGTTTATATGTCAAATTTGATTTTATAAAATAAAAATTTCGTTTATTAAATTTTATATTTTCAGGACTTAATTAATTAAAACTTACCGAAAACGGTGATATTATGGCCTCGCTCTTCAAGATTTTTTTTAATGAAAGGAGCAATTCGTGCAACATTACGCCCCTCTCTCACACTACCTAGAAACAAAATTAACTTGTAACCCATTTCATACGACTATAATCACACTTTTGCCTGTTACTGCTGAGACGATGTGACTGGACACAACGTTGGCACATCGCTGACGTTGTTACAGGTACGATTACATAATCTGCAAAGTGCCAACTCTGACCGATAGAGAGCGTTAGAATGAGTCACTAGGTCAGACGGTGCCAATTTAGCGAAAAAGTCGCTATATTTGGCGAGTTTTTGCTTTAGTTAGCACCCTTTTTTTTTTGAAATTTAGCGACGGAGATTTTTCTTAGAGATATTTTAGTAAATTTAGCTACATTTTAGAGATTTTCCAAGAAATCAAAAAATTTAATAAATTTATTAATTTATATTATCTTTAATGTGCAATAATTATGTGCATGAGTCGCAAATCTTATTTTTAATAAGTGGCAACACTAATCAGAGCTCAAGTTTTCATATCATGACCAAATATGGTAAATATTTTTAAAGGGGACGGAGCTTAGTGGGTATTATCGTCGCGACTATCGGTAACAGGTCCAATCCTGATTCAAATAGTTTATCAAACTTTAAGAAAATTGACAGTGATCTCCATTCAAAATTTCGGAATCCTTATATAAGTTACCTATCCCGCATCGTGAGTAACCAAGTGCATTAATATAGTGTCATTTTGTGATAATATTATTTACTATTATTTATTGGTATTGCAATTTATTATTTATTACCCTGACATCAGTGAAAATGTCAAATGAAAGAAAATACACTCAAAAATTTCGAATAGAATGGCTTCGTGACGATAGGTTTAAAAACTGGTTGCAGAAAATAGAAGGAGAAAATACAAAGTGTCGCTGTAAATATTGTAACTGCATTTTGATAGCAAAAGTAAGTGATTTAGAAAAGCATAGGAAAACTCAAAAACATATAAAAGCCGAGCCATCGTTTAGCATTCAGCGGAGTGCAAATATTCTTCCATTTATGAAAAGTTCAAATGTTCATAGAACAGAGGGAAATATGGCGCTTTTTATAGCAGAAAGTTGTCCTATTAGTCATGTAGACAAACTAACTAAATTCTGTACAACAAATTTTTCAGATAGCAAAAGTTGTAATAATCTGACTCTTGGACGAACAAAATGTTCAGCCATAATTTCAAATGTTTTAGCACCACATTTTAAAGAAAATTTAATAGTTGATATAGGTGATAGCAACTATAGTTTACTAATTGACGAAAGTAATGACATTTCAGTTTCCAAGCTTTTAGGTATTGTAATTAGATATTACTCTCAAAATAGAAAATGCATAACCACAACTTTTTTAGATTTAGTACCACTTAAAGAGTGCAATGCTGATGCAATTTGTGAATACAGCAGCATGCCGTCTGACTCAGACGGCATGCTGCTGTAAAGCTTACAAGTCTCTATCTAACACTCAATAGAGAGGTTGAGGCCGACGTTTTCATCGCGAAAACGTGTACGTCGTACGTTCAGCGCCGCTTTCCTGTACGCCTAGAAGTTTGACAATGGTGTTTGGATAGTCAGTGTAATCATGCTCGACATTCCAAACAATTTTATAGTTTTTACGTGTATGTCATTTTGTCCATAGTATACGGATAAAATGGAGTTTGGATGATCTCAATTAAACTAACAATATTTTTTTTTCTATTATTTTAATATTGTAAATGTTTAGTATATTTGATAGGTAAAGAACCAAAGATGATTGGTGTAGAATATGACAGTGCTGTGATTTACCAATAAAGGGTTATGAACCTAAAATAAAACCGTATGTCATTTTGTATGTATTTCCCCTACATGTGTAGTTTGTGGAACAAAAGAACTAAAAATGGAATATACTCAATATGTTTTAGTTTGAATATGATTTACAATAAAAAATATAACAGATAAATACTTAATATTATGTGCTTATTAATGATTATAACTAAAAAACGCTTTAATTCTGAATAAATATAATGGGATTTTATAAAGAACATTGGTAAAATAGGCTATAGTCTACACGTAATGTGTATTTAAATGATTAGTAAGCCAGTCTATAAACAGCGTAAATTTGATTATTTTTCATCTACATTCATAAATAAAATTTTGAAATTACAGTTAAATACGTTATACTTCTGTATAAAATTAATAAATGCTGGAATTTCAACATTGACTGAAGTAATGGATAAAATAAAAAGGCTTAATACTAATTGCAACCAGTCTCGAATTAATATTGATAGTAATATAAACAATATTTCCATGCTTTAGGTTGAAATGAAGGTTGTTTTGTAAATAAACGGTCGATCGCGATCTGCCTATTGACAAAATTACACATAGAAATCTATTGCACTTAAAGTTAAGTACAATGTATTTCTATGTTTACTGAAGATTTGACCTTAACACCATTTGTTGATCAGAATAAATAATTTATTTGTTACTAATTAATTATTGAAAGGTAGGAAGGCGAGTTGGCAGACTATCTAACCATAAATATAGACACTTGTTTTTATATACTGAGAGTTAGAATAAGGTAGAATCTTTGTTAGTTCTTCACTCCGTATAGTTTACTTACGGTTTTAAAAAGTAGCTATTAGCTTATTGTTTTCAAGAATATCTGTTATAATCTGTCTTACAGATAAAGTTTCTCTAAGTAAACAGAGAAGCGCTATGTTGTTTCGAGTAAGGTTACATTTAAGCATGGAGGGAAAAGATTTCGTGCTAGAAATAATGTAGTAGTAGTTTTACATCCGATTCGATATGTGTTACGTTTCATACGCCAAGGACAGCCTGAAAGTATAAAATGATATTGATAGTAATGAAAATATACAGGTTTAACACTCTTTATACATACAGTAAATTGTACATTTATAACATATTTTATAAATTAATTATCTCAAATATAATGTATATTTAGTAAAAATGTTTTTGAAAAATATTTTTAGTTTGTCATTTTAACTAAATTAAATTAAATTAAAATAAATTTAAAGGCTGAGATGTGACTTTTTAACGAATTCTTATTGTGTTCATTAAAAAAACCTCGTCCTTTTACAAACCTGTTTTAATAATTTAGCCACAGGATATTTTTTTAAATATTAATTTGCAGTACATAATATAAATGATTGTAAAATATTAATATATATTTAATTTATATTAAATTATATAAATGTAATGTTTAATATAAATTATATTATGATTTATATTAAAAATTAAAGGCATATACGCGATTAATATTGACTAATGTAGGTTATAAGCACGAGCATATGAATATCCTTTGCTTTCTGCTTTCTTTGGTTTTTTTTATCTCGCTTTTCCCGAATTTTTCCCACTGTTTTGCCAGAATTTGGGAGGGTAGTTGCCCTCTAATCCTCCGACTTGTATGTCCGTGATTAAAAGAATATATTTTCGGTAATCTGATATCTGATAAACGAAACATCACACTGAATAACTAGTATAAATACCAGAGACCATACAAAAGTATATTAAATGTTTTCTAACATACCGTTATTTAATGAGCTTTTGCTCTTTTACGAAAGGATGATTAGCATCCTCTGTTGATAGTAATTTTCAGTTTTGGAGTTTTAAGAGTTTTAACTTTTCAGTTTTTGAAGTAGTATTTATTTTATTTGTTGAACAAAAAGCTAATAGAATTTATTCAAACTTGCATTTTCGCTCTCGAAATTATACTTTCGTTGTCATTGGATATTTAAACATTAAAAAATTCTTGCTTTATTTTAGTGTTTTGTTTAAAAGTCTATTAATACATAAATTTAAATCTATTTAAAACAAGCAATTATTTATTGTGACATCGTCACAATGCCGGGCTGAAATTTTTAATTTTAATTTATTTAATTTAAAATATATGCTTTCCATCTCAAATTAGTAGTGGCTTGCTCTTGTACAGTACATCATACTTTTAGTTTAACAGTAGAGTCCAGCTTGACACCTTTCAGCGAAAAATTTTTGAATTGAAATAACTTAACTTTCATTCTATACCGGAACTTCGTGTATAGTTAATCGGGGTCTCCTGCCCTAAGCTAAAGCTATTCACATCTGGTCTCGTCTTTCACCTATGTAACTCCGTTCAGACGGACAGACGGAAGACCAACGACAGTGATAATTTATAGGTCTACAATTTTTTTCAAATTGCAGCCCAATTTATTGCTAGATCTTCTTTACACATGAGATAAATTGTGTTTTAGCAACAAGGAATTTTAAAAATAATAGATATTTTCCCCCCTCAATAATACAGTAGAGCGTCGTTTATCCGAATCAATTGGGGACTGGGGTTGTTCGGATAACTTATTTTTCNGCCCAATTTATTGCTAGATCTTCTTTACACATGAGATAAATTGTGTTTTAGCAACAAGGAATTTTAAAAATAATAGATATTTTCCCCCCTCAATAATGATGGGGGAAATATCTACAGTAGAGCGTCGTTTATCCGAATCAATTGGGGACTGGGGTTGTTCGGATAACTTATTTTCGGATAACCGACTATGTACGAAAAAATATAATAACCTATTTCATGTTGAAATTTTTTTCTGTTGCGTGTCGTTTCGACTTGAATTTTCGTCGATGTTAAGCCTAACGTAAACTTTTTAAAATAATAATCGTGGCTATTGTATCGTTAAAAATTATTTCTTTATTTTTTACAAACAAAATAAATATATTGAAAAATATAAAAACAAAAAAATTATACTTTAGAAGTTAATATAGTATCAAATTGAAAAATATGAAAACAAAAAAATTATACTTTAGAAGTTAATATAGTAAACGTTCGATTCAGCATGACACACAGTCCTCAGAAAAACACCACACAAAAGTACCAGTGCTGCCAGCTAAAACACATACACAAATAAAAAAAATATTAGATTAGCCCAAGACATAGCCAAAGATTGCAGCGCCACAGCACTAGCGAAAATTTAAATTTGCTGACTAGAATGCTTTCGGATAACCGGCTTTCGGATAAACGACGCTCTACTGTACTAATAAAGTTTCATTCAATTCCAACACCTCCTTCTTGGTGTATAAATGTTGTCAATAAGTATGTTTTAGAGTAATATTTTTTTTACAAATAGTAAGGAGTTTATATTTTCTACTTCAATAATCTATTTTCTTTCGTGACGGGACTACTACATCAGTTTATAAGTGACGCAAATAAGCAAAATCAAATTAAATTAGTGAAAATGTCCTATTTATCCTAGTAGACAGACCAGTGGATAGAAATTATATTTTATTCGTAAGATATTTTATTAAATTTAATATTCGATTTATTCGAATTGTTTGATTTTAAATATATAATTAATATCTAATATATTAGAATAAATTTTTAAAACTCTGCCCTTTGAGCACTAAGAGTATCTTTTTACCAAGTTCATTATGGGTTCGGCCAGGGCCACAATTGGGCGGCCTGGTAGCGAAGGATGGACCTGACATATCTGGGGAACTACCCTCCGAAAAATTCCTAGGGTTTTATCGATCGTCCGGATTCGATTCCGAGTCTCCCACAGCGGTGAGTTGCTACTCTAACACTTGGCATTCTAGTCGCCCTTTACTTTTCATTCATGAGCATTTTTATAATATTGAAAATTCGATATGAATTATGTTTTACAAGAGAAATCTCTAAGTTGTAAAATCATAGTTTTAAACACATTGTAAATTTTGATGGGAACAATTAAATTCGATGAAAGTCGGTACCGATTCTACCGACTAGATATTTCTTATACTTTTTATTGGGCTGCAATTTGATAAGATTGTAGACCTATAAATTCACTGTCATCCGTCCGTCTGTCTGTCATTCCTTAATTTAGTGAACGGAGTTAGATAGATAAAAGTCGAGACCAGATGTGGAAACCATAGGGGCAGTAAGCCCCGATTAACTATATACGTACTCCCGATATAGATAGGAAGTTATGTTATTTCAATTCAAAATTTTTTGTTGAAAAGTGTTAGATGACTGGCAGGACGCTATTATTAAAAAACCGTATGATATATGGAGGAAAAGACTACTAATTTGAGGTGGAGAGCACATATTTTAAATTAAATAAATTAAAAATATGATTAAAAATTGCAGACCTATGGAGTTAAGTGTAATAGTCTTCAGGCCCGTGCGCAAATTTTTAAAAGGGTGAAGTTAAAAAACAATTTATTTTTTCATAACGTATTCATTAATTTTTATACTACAATAGACTGAGACGAAATTGAATAGGTACTGTACAAATAAATATAACTTATCTACAATATACTGCTTAATTTTACTTTTACCTTGATAGTGTTTATATCAATATTTAAAAAAAAAAAAAACAGATTTTGTGGAGATTTTGTCTACTACAGTTAATAATTGCTTACTAGTGGCCGGGTTTATCCACTCGGCCACTAGTGGGCAAATATTAACTGTAGTAGACAAGTTAAAAA